TGTGGCGTCAACGCGTCGCGCGAGTGTCAGCGCGAGTGTCAGTGCGAGGTGTGCGGGGGCTGAGGTAAACAAATGCACGGCATCGAGGCGGTAAATCCTAGCCTTAACTAATTTTGCTATAGTAAATCGCTAATCAATTTACCATACATTTAAACCTCAAGTTATTTTATGGAAACCATATTGTTAACGTTCTATTACTACGTTAAGATATATAATTTAATAAAATACATAGCGTAAAAGTAGAGGTTTCAAATTATTAAACCTTTGAGACCGTGCATACTCGTAAAGCTTCAAAGAAGTATGATATTACATTCTAATAATAAAGCTTACCTATGCGGCTTAAGTTAAGCCGAATAGCATGTCGTGTGTATAGAGCTAAATAAATAAGTAAGCATGCAGAAAGAGTATTGATCTATACTTATAATAAATCTGTAGAGAGGTCAATTCTGTACATGAAATATATTTTCAAAATAACTATCAGGGGGTGATTAGTGTTCGATAATGATGCCAAAAATGCAATTAGTAAAATTTTTGTCTGTCTGTCTGTTTGTCTGTATGTTCCTTATAGAAACAAAAACTACTCGACGGATTTTAACGAAACTTGGTACAATTATTCTTCATACTCCTGGGCAGGTTATAGTATACTTAGGAATTCCCACGGGAACGGGAATTAGCGGGAAAATCCTTTTGTATGAAAAATCTAAACCGCGTAAGATAGATGAAGGGGGTAAAACGGGATCCACGCGTACGAAGTCGCGGGCGGCCGCTAGTCAAATAATAAATTCTTACACAGTTGTCGCAAGCACTTTTAAAACATTCAAGTAATGCATCTCAAACAAACAATTTCATAATTATCTAGTTCTTGCAATTGATATTGCCGTTTTTGAAGTTTAATGAAATCTGGCAAAATAATCTCCGTTTAATTAATGGAACCTTGTTGCAAGTGCCCAAGGGATCAATATTAGGACCTTTGTTCTTCTAGTTGTCAATGACCCGTTTTACTTTGTAAAAGATGTGTGTGAACAGTAATTCTTGCTGATACATCGCCGTAAAAAAATGTGCATAATTATAAGTTTGGTAAGTAGTAGCAGTAACAGATAACAGTTATGTTATTTGGTTGTTAACATGAGTAGAAGTTGAAGCGATACAATGGGGCTTTATCTTGTAAGTTACACATCTCTAGCCTTCTGGGCGCTACGTCAAACAGCGCAGGACATATGTTGGGAACGCGTTGCATACGCAGTGATGTACCAGCACCCGCCGACCTCCGCGGCCGAGTGCCGTGACGGAACACTTGCTCCCATCGATACTCGATAAAACTAATATTTTAATATAAACTATCTCCGAGCATTATTATCAAGAAAAAATGTGAATGAATGTAGATAACATTATGTTAAGTGTGACCTTTAAGTGACAATGAACGAAAATATTGTTGATAGAGAGAGATACGATTAAAATTTCAGCTATCGACACCCATAGCAATAATTTAAATCTAATGTGCATTATTGCCCTTTTTCTGTAAGGCCAGTAGAATAAGACATGAAAATCAATCAAATCGTAAATAATTCCTACAAAAGGTTTTATTGTTTTAATGGCTTCATTTTGTTGCTCATTACGACTATCCGAGGTTTTCGACTTCGACGGAGTTGTGCTTAAGCACTGGGCCCTACTGGAGCATTTTTGCAGATTTACGGTTATTAATCGAAAAAATACTTTAACACCGCGATGCAGCTTCTATCTTACCGCCATCTAGTGATGAGCGTTGTAACTGCTTTCTTAACTATGATAATTACAATAAGCATAGTGATCTTTGGTTTGGTAGTCCATAAGAATCGCGGCAAGACGCTAGTAACCTTGTTGTATTATTAATGTTGAGTTAAAGCACCAAAAAGGTTTTTACCTAATAAATAAGTAATTACTTTGCTTTTTAAAGTTTTTTCTGAAATTTTACATTGAACATAATTTCTTAAAAATAATTTTCTATAAATAAGTGAAAGTATTTTACTTGGTGTGGTTAAATTTTGTTCACCACACCAACATTTTGTTATCTATTAAATGTAAGAATTGGTAGGTACGGATAAGACTAAAATCATAAATAGACTATTGAAAAATAATATTATACACTCGCAAGCAAAACTATGGAATCACTTACATGAAGTTGTTTCCACGCGATTCTTGTGTACTAACGAATTTGTTAGTAACAAAAAAAGTGGCACCATTTTAAAGATTAAACTTTTACCTTTTAATTGATACCAAATTCATTTAAATCACACCGGTATTTAAAAAGATATCCCGGCTGACGTGAAGTAGTAAGGAAAAAGACATGTATCAACTGTTTGATACGTCGCAAGTTGCGGCCTACTTACCCCCTATAAAAACACGTGTTTTTGGATTTTTGCTTTCACACGTTGATCCATACACATCTCCGCTTTTTTTGACACTTTACCTGGGATTCTACACCTTCAGAAGCAGCACAAATCCTTGCACTATTGCAAGCAGGGCTCAGCCAGCGGGCTGTCGCATGTCAGCTCCACATAAGCCAGTCCTGGGTTTCGAAAGTTTTAAGACGCTTTCGGGAGACTAGTGGCTTTATCCCGAGACCAAGTTCTGAACAGCGCCAGTGCACATCGCAGAGGGATGACCGTTTTTTCATGTCAACCTCTCTATGAAATCATCATTTGAGTGGTATCGACGTCTAGCAAGAGCTCAGAAATGTTCGTAGGATAGCTGTTAGCGTGTGGACAGATCGTCTAAGATATAAGCAATAGAATTTGACTCCAAAAAGGCCTGCCACAGGCTCGAAACTGACGGCAGGTCACCGACAAGCACGCTTTCAATTAACTCGCACTTATTTTGATGGGTAGGCGAGTAATGGAGGCGAGTTTTGTTCTCCGATGAATGCAGACTGTGTTTGCAGTGCAGCAGTTGAAGAGGTCGGGTCTATAAGTAGCCTGGGAAGCGATTTGTGCAGTGCTGGTTCGCTGAAACAGTGGCTTATGGGGGTGGCTTGCTCGACTTCCCATCGAGATGTGTAGGAGCAAATTGAAAGCGTGCTTATCGGTGACCTGCCGTCAGTTTCGAGCCTGTGGCAGGCCTTTTTGGAGTCAAATTCTATTGCTTATATCTTAGACGAACTGTCCACACGCTAATAGCTATCTTACGAACATTTCTGAGCTCTTGCTGGACGTCGATACCAGTCAAATGACGATTTCATAGAGAGCTTGACATGAAAAAAACGGTCATCCTTCTGCGATGTGCACTGGCACTGTTCAGAACTTGGTCTCGGGATAAAGCCACTAGTCTCCCGAAAGCGTCTTAAAATTTTCGAAACCCAGGACTGGCTTATGTGGAGCTGACATGCGACAGCCCGCTGGCTGAGCCCTGCTTGCAATAGTGCAAGGATTTGTGCTGCTTCTGAAGGTGTAGAATCCCAGGTAAAGTGTCAAAAGAAGCTGAGATGTGTATGGATTAACGTGTGAAAGCAAAAATCCGAAAACACGTGCTTTTATAGGGGGTAAATGGGCCGCAACTCGCGACGTATCAAACAGTTGACACATGTCTTTTTCTTACTTCTTCACATCCAGCCGCGAAATCTTTTTAAATACTGGTGTGATTTAAATGGATTTGATATCAATTTAAAGGTAAAAGTTTAATCTTTAAAATGGTGCCACTTTTTTTGTTACTAACAAATTCGTTAGTACACAAGATCGCGTGGAAACAACTTCATGTAAGTGATTACATAGTTTTGCTCGCGAGTGTAGTACAAGTTTTACAAACACTTCAAATCTGATCTATATTATTGGTTGGCAGTATTTGCGGAAAAATGGCAAAAAATCATCCGACGTCATCGTTCAATTAGCTAATTTTATTTAACCGACCGGCCCAGCAACTCATTATCAATTATTACGGTAATTATTAAGAAGCAAATTAAATGAGTATGGGTGGTCGATATGCAACAATTAGCACGTGCGAATGGTTCTAACGAGCGGCATCATCGACATCGATAACAACGTGGGCGTGAATATAGCTGGCACTAGTGGCCGGGCAGCGGCACTCGCAGCGACGGGCCGCGGCAGCAGCGAGCGCCGAGCCGAGCAGTCCGTGCATGAGTCTCGTCCGGCGCGGTCGCCCGCGCCCCGCGCACCACCATGCAGCGTCTCGTCGTGCTCTTGCTGCTACCGGCACTCGTGTCATGTGTGATCTACGACGAGATCCCAGAACATACTTTGTGCAACCTACACGACTGTGAATGCCTGGACAGCGGACACCCCTCATGGAAGACTGTCAACTGCAACATGACCACAACAAAGGTAAAAAGACATAATTATTTTATAACAAACAAAAGTGAATGTGCGTTGCCAGATGTGTTGCCGACGGATACTCGCACGTTTGAGCAGTATTCGGGTTCGGGTTCTAACTTGTTTCTAGGAATGTAACGACTGAAAGTTTTCGCAAAACTTGGTTTAGATAACGGCACTAAACTTTTATGACAAATCTCAACCAACCAGTGAATTGCACCTTCATTAATTTTGTAGTTCTTTAAGTGTAATTACAATTGTCCTACGTTTTTGTGGTCTTTTTCACAATTTTATTAAAAACATTAAAACTTTAACAGTAATGGCCGATGAAACAACCAGTAACTAAAAATCCAGGTGTACCACGTAGGTACCAAATAAAAGGCAAACAGTCTTTATTTGGCTTCTTATGAAAATGAACATAGTAAACGTGAATAACTGAATATAATTAATTTCATAAATTTACAAACCATCGGTTCAAGCGATATGTCATCATTACATCTCATTACTGCGATAAATAATATGATATACGGTGCCAAATTGACACAAATGTTATCATTGTGTAAAGCAAAACATCAGATGTGTAGAGTTCTCCTTACGAAGCTGTTGTTAAAAAATGAGTAAACAAACAAAGCTTCTACCTGGGGTCGGGCGAGGGTTGGAGCGCGCAACAAGTGCCGCGCCACCAAAGAGCCTCCACAAATCGTCAACAAGGTGCTTGCTGTTTGTCACGTACAATATTCAGATAATCGCGGTCAAACGACCTAGTTAATCGTGCACGTAACAACCGCTCAATTAAACTAATGAGTAGGTATCCTTTGTAAACAATACTATCTCTTTACACTCAAACGGCGAGTTCCCGAACGGTTGTCGTCACCTTCCATGAGGAACTGCAAAAGTAAGGAAGCTAAAAGCACACCGAAATCGCGCGCCACCGCCAGACTGAGCTATTTGCGGTGACTGCGAACGCACTCGCGATTTTGACGACTAGTTCATGTGTACGTAAATTCTGGTATAATGGCGCCCCGCATAAACGGTGCATTTTTGCAGTCAACAAACGGCATAGTTGCACTCAAATTATTGGAACTCGTCTCTGACGCCATCTATGTATATCATAACGTTTAAGTTGAAGATAAACATCAAATAACTTGATGATGATCTTAAATACAGAAAAACCATTTTGTCCGAAGAACTTTATTTAGTTCGTGAGAAGTAAGGATTATTCATTTTTGATCATTGCTTATTATAATGCAATACCCACAATAGGTATATTGACAGAATTTGGCTACAATTCAACTTTTACAAAATAGAAATATGTGTCAACGACCGACTTGTCTGGTCTCCGGCAGGCGAATGTTTTGTATGACTAACCTATAATTATGCTCACACACTTGTATACATTATACAGTTAAAAGTGGGGGACAATGACACACAATAGTTTTGATATTCTTCCCAAATGGACGAGATAGCTAAACGTGACGTCATTTAAGCATTGAAAATGTTATTATAATGAAATTCAATAGTGGAAAATCTTACGACCATATCTTAGCGTTTACAATCCAGTTCTTTATCTGTTCGATTTGTAAAAAATGTGAATGCAGTGTGTTCAAATATTTAAGAAGCAGTAATGGTCTTAAAATAACTGACTGACTTTTAACTCACTTAAGAGAAAGTTAAGTGAATCAATATCACAAGGGCCGGTAAGGCTCGCCATTAAGGCGGAAGTCAGTGATATGCGTGACACTTATTACTTGGCAGATACAGACAGAAAGAGCAAGATGCAAACTTACTTAAAAAGGCGTAGCGTTAATGTAATCTCCATATAGATGCAGGCGCCTAACGCATAATGCGGGACGGACGGAGTCATAGCGTGAACAGCAGTCCGAGACGTTACGAGGTAATCAATAATGGAGGATTAAACAAGATCAATTGTATGATAGATATTACTAATGGTGCTTGTCTAACGAAGAATGCACGCCGGAATCACCATTTCTCACATGTTGAGCCAGCCAAGCGTGCACTCAAAGAAACAAGGACAAGCTATTATATCCGTTTATAAGATTTTCGGAAACAAGAACGAAATACAAGATTTTAAAGAAAGTAGCAAATGTAACAGGAACTTTGCACAGTTGTTTATTAAATGAAACGTACATTACACATTATTTAAAACTGTAAGATTATTATGTTTCTTTCAAGAACGTCTCTACTACAGTGCAGCCTCTACGCTTAAAATATATGATATTTTGCGAGCCTTTAAAATCAATTTCATCCAGATTAAAATTCATTATTAACTTACAATATCTGATCTGATACCGAACATACTTCGTATATAAAAATATGCTGCCGACTGCTCTATGACTGCTCTTGGGAATGTCAATTAAAATCGAGTCTTGGATATTTTGTTTCAAACCTACTACATATATGCATTTTAGTAAAAAAGAACCCACTTTGGTTCTGAAATTCCATACGATTTTTTTCCTTTCAATAAGTTTGAAAGTTCACCTATTAAATTGTCGTTTTATATATTTTAACGAAAATATTTATTTGATCATAGTCATAACAACGGTAAACTTAACGCAATCTCTACCAGTAAAACTTTGGGCCAAACAAGAACTTCAATTGCACAAAATAATTTAGCATTTTATAGAAATGTCCATTACAAATTATAATTTTGTGTATAATCTTCTTATATAATAAAAGAAAGTCGTGTTAGTTACTCCACTTATAACTCAAGAACGGCTGAACCGATTTAGCTGAAAATTGTCAGGGAGGTAGTTTAGAGCCAGGAAAAGGACATAGGATACTTTTTATCCCGTTCGAAATAAAAAAAAGTCTGTTTATTTATTGCCATTAAGGCGGAACAAAGTTTGCCGGGTCAGCTAGTTAATTTATAAAACAACGGATAAGCTACTTTCATTGAGTGCCATGATATTGAGGCGTTTTATAACTATTGAATTAAGAAATATTATGAAATCTGTGCCAAAAATTCGGCAATTTCAAAAACGTATTGTGAATTGTTCCATGTTCAATTTATTTTCAGTGAGTAAAAGTGATTTCACACAGGACAGTTCATTACAGTAGACACATAATTCGGACTACGTGAAAACGAATCACTAGGAAGTTAAAAAGCAATAAAATAATCGTACGCTATGTTTGCTCGCATTGAGGACGCTACGCAACATGTAGCGCGGGATCAACGTACAAACCATAAAAAAACGTAATGAGGATCGCTTCCTGTGACGAACGTGGCTCCTACTACGATATCCGAACGGACTCGGACTAAAGGGCAATATGCACTCATACCCGCGGCCCTGCACAGTACTGCACACGCCTGGTCCCTTTACCTAAAAGTCTTAATTTCCAAAACAATATTTCTATGTATGGGCAAATCACTTTTCTACACTTAATGGCTATGGCTTTATTATAACAATATTTATCTTAGCCATAAAACTTTAATATCCTGAAAATCAATCAATAAAAAGATTAATTTTAAAATCTATAGGATTCATTTTAGTTTTAGCAAGATTAGCGATTGACTACGATCGCGTTAGCTTATCAATAGGATTTAACAAGATAAGATAAAATTATTGTAATAGAGTTAAATATAATTCATTGTATGTAATAATTAAAAAATATCGACAGTGATGTATAAAACTATAACATACAGTTTTTAACCTGTAACAAAAGGACGTCATTCTTTAGTTATGAACGTTGACGAAGTTTTCAGTGGAAATTCTTTATTAATTCTATAGGCAGTTTAATTAAAAAATATAATACAAAGCTCAATGATGGTAAAATCATAAACAACCTTTAACCGTTAGTTAATTACTTTGAAAGCTATTAGCGATGGTGATGGTACCTGCAAGAAGAACACAAAGTACTTTCCAAGTCTTCTAATCTTATACAAATACGCAATGAAATACTATAGGGACTCTACCTGTACACCATTATTGATTATTTTGGCATACTCGTATCGTACATAATATAGACTGTGAAAATATAGGCTATTTTTGTCCTAAAACACATAAGGTGAAAAATAAGGTACGAAATGTTTTTCGTGGAACCCGTCAAAATAAGACTTTGATGAAAATGATTGCGGTAATTGTAAGTAAAATTGGTTATTATTTCACGTTAAAACACGTGATTATTTTCATACTTCCATGCAGATAAATTCGCAAGCACCAGCCAGTGACAATATTAAAGCCATTGTGCATGCGTTTATTCATCAAACCCACACGTACACTTAGGCTGTCCAATGTAAATTTAAAAATTAAGGACGACAATGATAACCATTGAAAATGACTGAAACGCACACATTATTTAATTATTTTACAATCACGCGATTTAATATTCTTTCTTCATTACATTAACTAATTATAAATTTATAATACAAAGTACCATAAGGTAAAGTTTTTTGAAGACCTTTGTTATTCCGAAGGTGTTTTACTAAATGATGAGTCAATATAATGGGTGCATGAATCATGTTGCACAGAATGGGCTAGTTGATATAATAATTAGAATTGCTGACATCCGCTTACGGTATTATGTTCTTATTAGCGCGATTTGAATCAATGGGTTTTTATTTTTCAAAAGCCTCTGAAAATACCCGAAAGAACATAATTATACTGTTAATTTAAAACTGTGATAACTTCTTCATTCTTGTACTTGTCCTACATAAATGAATATTTTGATAACAATGGTGAAATCTACTGCAATTCCAGTCTTCTAAACACTAAACACTAATTACCGAATATTTTAAATCCGCACGAAGTCGGGGTGATCGCTAGTTCTCAATTATTTTATAGCCAGCCGAAACATTTAGATGGGCGGGCAACTATTTTAAAACAGATCTCGATCCATTCATACGTCTAACGCTCATATTCCGGGAATAAAGTCTAATATTAAAATGGACGGTGGCAGTGAATGCCGTTGCGGTTTGTGGAATCCGACTGGTTTGATGGCGCATACGCACCGAACAGATGCCATTTACGACAAGTTTTCTGGTGTTTTGCTAA